TAAAGTTGTTGTGGAAAGAAAAAATTTGTAGCTCTCGTTTTTTAAGAAAAAATGGTATGTAGTGCTAACTTGACACCATACACCTAGTCGATAGAATTGAGATATTGAAAATGTTATAACGGCATTAATTGTAGCTTTTAGCTTTAAAATTTGTTGTGGAAAGAAAAAATTTGTAGCTTTCGTTTTTTAAGAAAAAATGGTATGTAGTGCTAACTTGACACCATACACCTAGACGATAGAATTGGGACATTGAAAATATTATAACGGCATTAATTGTAGCTTTTTTGTTGTAAATTTGTTGTGGAAAGAACAAATTTGTAGCTTTCGTTTTTTAAGAAAAATGGTATGTAGAGCTAACCTGTAATGGTATGTAGTGCACTACATCCTAAATTTTGTTCGAAAAAGGGTCAACTCAATTTTTTCCAGAAAAACGAAAGCTACAAATTTTTTCTTTCCACAGCAAATTTTAAAGTTATAAGGTACAATTAATGGCATAGTAACATGTTGGAAATCTCCATTCTATCGACTAGGTGTATGGTGTCAAGATAGCACTACATACCACTTTTTCTTAAAAAACGAAAGCTACAATTTTTTTCTTTCCACAACAAATTTACAACCAAAAAGCTACAATTAACTCCGTTGTAACCTTTTCAATATCTCAATTCTGTCGTCAGTGGTGCATGGTGTCAAGTTAGCACTACATACTAAATTTTGTTCGAAAAAGGGTCAACTCAATTCTTTCCAGAAAAACGAAAGCTACACATTTTTTCTTTTCACAACAAATTTTAAAGTTAAAAGCTACAATTAATGGCATAGTAACATATTGGATATCTCCATTCTATCGACTAGGTGTATGGTGTCAAGTTAGCACTACATACCATTTTTTGATAAAAAACGAGAGCTACAAATTTTTTCTTGCCACAACAAATTTACAACAAAAAAGCTACAATTAATGCCGTTATATCATTATCAATATCTCAATTCTATGGACTAGGTGTATGGTGTCAAATTAGCGCTACATACCATATATTTTAAAAAACGAGAGCTAAAAATTGTTTCTTTCCACAACAAATTTACAACAAAAACACTACATATAATGCCGTAGTTAACTTTTCCAATTTCGAAAAGTGTAGTGCTAACTTGACACACGTTGCACCTTCGCATGTATGAGCGCCTGGTATTGGGAAATGAAAATATCATTTTTTACAAAAAAAAAACTCATCAGCGAAAATGGACACATATGTGTTTTAAAAAAGGACATTATATGTATGTGGATAAACCATGGACCGAATGAGAAAAGCTGCTATCATTCGATGGTTGTTATGCTTGATTATTTCATGTTCTGCATATTTTCCAATCTTTTAAAGAAAAAAATTATAGATACTAATTGTCTTGGAACATTTTGCACTCAGTTTTTAAACAACCAAAACTATAAATTTGTACAATATGTTCATGTGAATCAAGCTACGTTTCATGCGTGGAGGAGTCCAAGCATAAGCATTCAGTCGTAGGACATGGCTTAGCCCGCGTGGCCGCTGTGCATTGATACGTGGCACTATGTCAATATCGTTTTAAAGTACATACACCTCATTATTCCATCATCTAAACTTACATATTTTTCTTAGTGTATAAAATTTGATTGGAACTGAATTAGAGAATGAATACATAGCAAAGTGTTCATTCATCTGGAAGCTAATTCAGTATTGAATTCTGTTTACTTCAGCATTCTCAGTTTTTCATTCAGGTATTTACCACCATTATACTAATAAAATTATAGTTTAAAAAACTAAAACCTCCCTATTATAATTGCCATTCGTACTGTCATCAGGTATGTAACTTGAGAATAGAAATCGCTGCATCTTTTAGGCGCATCAATATTACATAGTTACATCCCGAGCTAAAGTAAAAAGTAATAAAAAAGAAGGTAGTTCCATTGTCACTTTTTCGTCGCCATATTAACAACCTGACAATTAAGTAGATTGTGACATTTCGTGCTACGGTACACGATATTTAAAATCCTTCAAATTTTGTTATTAATTTGTGGTTTATTTACAAACATTGTGTTCTTATCGAGATTTGAACGGCTCGGTTATTTGTACAAAAAACCAAAACCATTGCACAAATAACCGAACATTTCCCCTTATGTTTTTGAAAGAGGTCTAATGCTCAATAAGTTGATAATTGTGCTTCTAGTTTTCATACTAAAAATAAATCATCAATTTTGTTTCACACCACCTCTAATATTGAACAGTAAAATATATTTNGTGCAGCGGTTACCAAGATATACACATGTAACCATAAGTGGGCGTGGCTACGCCCATTTTCCAAAAATTTATAAAACTCTTATTTTTCGTCTAAAAGTTATTGTAAATGTAGTTAAATAAATAAAATATCGCAGTTTTCGTATTTCTGGAAATTACCGTTATATAGGAAGTGGGCGTGGTTACAGTCCGATTTCGCCCATTTTCAATGCCAACCTACCTTGGATTAAGGGAAACCTACATACCAAATTTCGTTGAGATATCTCAATTTTTACTCGAGTTATCGTGTACACGGACGGACGGACAGACGGACAGATGGACGGACAGACGGACAGATGGACGGACAGACAGACATGGCTTAATCGATTTCTAATTCTAATAATAATTCGCGCAACACTGCGGGTGTGATTGCAACTCGAACAAGCCCCATAAATTATGGTGACCACAAATATGGATTCAAAATGGACTTTTTTTCAAAAATATGCCTACATATATTTACGTAGTATAAATATATCGAAAGAGTGTTTATGATTCTAAATTCTTAATACATTTTAAATTTTGAAATGGAATCACGTTTTCTTCATCGATACTAATCTTTTTTTACATGAATATCTATAAAAGTATAGTAAAACATATTATAATTACAATAGCTTACACGAAAAGTGAAAATCTTTAAAAGATTATTTTATAAGCAAATTTTGAGTCGTTCAAAACAAAAACAATACCCTTTTTTGTTTTTTGTACTTTACGCAGTTANTTTCACACCACCTCTAATATTGAACAGTAAAATATATTTATTTTTACCCAAAGAAACAACGATAATGTCGAAAAATACTATAATTCGATAATTCTAACTTCTCTGAAAGTCATAAGGCCTATGGGTCCCAAAGTAAATTCCGTTTTCAAGTCCTGCAAAAACAGAACGGATGGTCACCGTACTCATAATTCATATTAGAAAGAACGAAATTATCCATATGCACACTTTCGTTAGAAAACCGAAATAATGCATATGTGTAAAACGAAGTAATGCACACATGCACAGTTTCGGTTGAAACCCGAAATAATGCATTTGAGATTATACCGAAATTATGCATATGCGTACTTTCGTTTTAAAAACGAAACAATGCATATGAAAAAAAAAACGAAGTAATGCATACATGCACAGTTTCGAATGAAACCGAATTAATGCATATGACAAAAACCGAAATCAAGCATACATGCAGTTTCGGTTGAAACCGAAATAATGTATAAATGCAGTTTCCATATGCGCAATTTCGGTGCCCCTTCGGTGTTCACCTCTGAGGAGCGCACCTATTTCAGGGTGATATCCAGCCGGGCAGCTGGTGACAGGGGGTATATATATGTTAAATATTTCCAGCTCGACATCGCCTGACCGGATAGCAATAGCCCGACAATGTTCAATTGCCGTGCAGCTTCGTCTCTTGGACCGCAGCTATTAATATTCCATGCCGACTCATGAAGACTGTTATCTCCTCGATCTTGCTCTGAAGTCCGTTACAGTTAAATTTTAAAATCTTCGTGTGCATAGGTAGACTTATTGAAATGTGAGGTGTTAATGAGGTGTTTTGCCGGCTCGCCATATGCAGTGTGTGCTGCTGTAAAGGCTGTTGCCCTGTGGTGGTAGTGGGCGGCGTCGCAGTTGGTACTTGCGACCGAGCAGCACAGCATGGGCCCTCATAGTCCCTCGTACAATCTCGCGTGGTGCGCAGTCTTGAACATGCCCTAAAGTGACATCAGCCATGGCAAGTGTTGCACTTGACTGATGTCACGTTACGGAATATCCTGGACTCACACGGCGGCGTGTGGGTGGTAGTGCGGCTATGTCGGTGGTGTTGTCTGTTGTGTGATCTATTGTATTGTGTTGTGATGCGGTTGTGTTTGTGTCGAGTTACTCAGGCGGACTCTGGTGCCGTGGAGGCAGCAAGGGGCCACGTATGCGGTGGTCCTCTCCCTGTGACTCATAGAGCCTGAAGCAAACTCGGAGGTGGCTACACCGATTACATGCATTGCATCTAACGGAGGTGGAGTTGTGGTGTAGCTGCCTCTGACACACGCAGCAGGTATAGGTTTCTGGTCCAGGGTTTGACTCAATGCCAGCCCTTAGCAGAAGTATGCGAAGAAGATGTAGTCCTATGTACGTACAACTCCTATGGACGTACAACTCTCGAGAGATTTCGCCGACCTAAACGGGGTTGGATCGCTGAAACAACAGCCCTTTGTCGGGTAAAACCCCAGGGTCATTCCGGTAAGTAGAACCGGCTGTCGTGATAATGCACTGGTCTTTTGATAGCGTGCTGGGGAGTTTATTGAAAGTCTGATTTTGTATACTAGTTTTTATTTATTATTACATAGATGTAAATATTTCATATTTAGTGTATTTCATAAGAATAGAAATGAAAATTTATGTACGGTCATTTTACACGAATTTTAAATCACTAATAATCAACTGCTTAAAAATAACCCATTTCAGTATTTCCATTTTTATGTCAATATTCATTAAATGTTTCGTCTTCGTGATTTTGTTTATACTAAGTAATTAGAAACTAAACTATTTTATTAAATTAACAAAAAAAAACCATATACAGTGAAAATTGTGGTCACATCTTAGTTAGAAATCCCTCTTTCTGATCAAAAGAATTATCGACATCGAGATCCACTCAATTCAGTTGATTCCATTACAAACAATAAAAAATTAATGAATCAGAATTTTCGTATGAGTTTTACTCTGTCGATTATTTCGAACGTACAGAGAAATTTGATAGGATCCGACGATAACAATATTAATTCATCGATACATTTCACACACCAATCATCAATTAAAGCAGACACTCTAGTTCTTTCCTTCTTTCTGTTCTTCAGAGGTAGTTTGCTCCGAACTGCTGCTTCCAGCAGCGCCACTTTCGCGTTCCGCTGACATCTATACATAAATTTGACTATTAAAATCGCACTAATAATGAAGCATATAATACGTTTATTACCTTTTTGTATGCCATCTCAAAGAGCTTCAGCGATGATTGTTGTAGTTGGCTGGTGGCTTTTCTGACATCCTCAGGCTCCGCAGTTTCCTTGTTGGCCAAAAGTGTACGCAAGTCAGCAATTTCCTTCTTCAGTTTTTCGCACTAAAAGGAACACATAAAATGATTGTGGACAAATATTTTGTGAAAGGCAATCATCTTACTTCTTCAGCAGGCAATTGGCTCTTGAATTCTTCCATTTTGGTTTCGGTATCATGCACAATGCTTTCGCCTTGATTAACCAATTCAATTAACTCACGTTTCTTTTTGTCACTAGCAGCGTACTCTTCGGCTTTCTTTACCATGTTTTCAATTTCATCCTTGCTTAAGCCGCCGCTTGATTGAATAACGATTTGTTGCTCCTTGCCGGTGCCTTTGTCTTTAGCAGATACATGGACAATGCCGTTTGCGTCAATATCAAACACCACTTCGATTTGTGGAACGCCACGGGGTGCTGGGGGAATTCCCACCAATGTGAAGGCACCGAGCAATTTGTTATCAGCAGCCATCTCACGTTCGCCTTGGTGTACTTTAATTTCCACTTGTGTTTGGCCATCAGCGGCGGTCGAAAATACTTGTGACTTTTTTGTGGGAATGGTAGTATTGCGGGAAATAAGTCGCGTAAATACACCACCCAATGTTTCGATACCCAGAGACAATGGTGTCACATCAAGTAGCAAAACATCAGTGACATCTCCAGCGAGCACGCCACCTTGTACAGCAGCACCGACGGCAACAGCTTCATCGGGATTTACGGCGCGTGAGGGCTGTCGGCCGAACAGTTCCTGTACTGTCTGCTGAACCTTTGGCATTCTTGTCATGCCACCGACCAGCAAAACCTCGCCGATCTCCGCTTTAGAAACTTCGGCATCTGACAAGGCCTTCTGGCATGGTTGAATTGTACGCTTAATTAAATCTCCGACAAGACTTTCGAGCTTAGAACGTGTCATTTTCAGATTCATATGTTGTGGTCCAGAAGCATCCATGGTCAAGTACGGCAAATTGATATCTGTTTGCTGTGATGAGGACAACTCACACTTGGCTTTCTCAGCTGCTTCCTTTAAGCGCTGCATTGCAATGTTGTCCTTAGTAATATCGATTCCGGTATCTTTCTTAAACTCAGACACCAGGAAGTTGACAATGGTATTATCGAAATCTTCGCCACCAAGCAGAGTGTCTCCATTGGTGGATTTTACTTCAAACACTCCCTTCTGGATTTCCAGAATAGATATATCAAAAGTTCCACCACCCAAATCGTATACGGCAATGCTGCAACAAGAAATTAAAACAAATTACTTCACATAAAGATTACACTATTGACGTGAATGGTTATTACATTTTGTCATCGGTCTTATCCATCCCATAAGCCAGTGCAGCAGCAGTTGGTTCATTGATGACACGCAACACATTTAATCCAGCAATTTGACCGGCATCTTTTGTGGCTTGGCGCTGTGAGTCATTGAAGTAGGCTGGGACAGTGACAACGGCATTTTTCACAGGTGTATTGAGATACGCCTCGGCTGTTTCCTTCATTTTCATCAAAATAAAAGCGCCAACTTGAGAAGGAGAATATACTTTGCCATCGGTAGATGAAACCCAAGCGTCACCATTTGACGCCTTCACTACTTTGTATGACAAATTTTTCAAGTCCTTCTTAACTTCAGGATCATCAAACCGACGGCCGATCAAGCGTTTGGTCGCATAAAACGTATTCGCCGAATTTGTTACTGCTTGGCGTTTTGCTGGCATACCAACCAAACGCTCACCGTCTTTGGTAAAAGCAACATGAGACGGCGTAGTTCGGGCTCCTTCTGAATTTTCAATTACCTTTGCTTGCTTACCTTCCATTACCGCAACGCAAGAATTTGTGGTACCCAAGTCGATACCGATGACAGCCCCTTTAACTTCGCCAGACCTGCAGAAACAACAAAAATCTAATTGGATATGTATACAAAATTGATCACAAGTTAAACCCTACCCTAAGAATTGACTTCTACATATAAATCTCAACACTTATACATTTTTCTTTTTAAGTCCTTCTTCAGCAAAAAATTAAGATAAATTCAACGTAATAATAATAATAGATTGTCGCTCACACAATAGGTTACTGTTTGGCCGAGCTTCTCCCGCGAATTGTGGTTTGCGCCTTGATGATGTCACACAATGGAAAGCACTTCAGTTATACGGGCGAGGGGCGACCGCTATTGGAAACAACAACGCAACAGGCCCTGCGGAATAGTAGCATGCACTGCTGGCCAATAACCACGGCGGCCGCCAACATATTTCAATCAAAATTTTAAATTTTTTAATCAGTAATTAAAAAATAATGGGATATGCAGTTTATGTCCATTGATTTTTAGTACCTATGTACATATATTATTGTGCAAGTTTGAAGTGGCTGAAAATTACACTGGATCACAAATTTTAATTTGGTTTTTGTTCTCCAGGCGCCACTATCCAATTTGTATATAGAATCGCTCGCTGATTCCAAAAATCGAGTTAATTTTTTTATTCTACGGATACGTTTTCGAGATATTTTCAATTTACCGTTATTCAGCTTAAAACAAAAGTTGGTTGCACTTAGTCACTTATATCTCAAGAGCCAAATTAACAAACTGAAAATGGAATACGACAAATGAAAGTTAATAAAATTTTCATAAACCGTCTATAGATTACTTACTTACTTATTAAAAAACTAACAGGTTCTGTGTCAAATTCTTGCAGTTGGGCTAAAGCCTGTTCTTTTACAAACAAATCAAGTTACTAATGAAGCAAATCGATGGATAAATAAAGTAATGTGTGGTCAATAGGAAATAATGTTACTCCTACGCCATGTACACCTAAGTAGCACGCTTCTATTTATCCGTTCGAGTAAGAACGGCGAGTCAATCGCACTCCGTATAATATCGAAAACGAAAGTNTAGCACGCTTCTATTTATCCGTTCGAGTAAGAACGGCGAGTCAATCGCACCCCGTATAATATCGAAAACGAAAGTAAGAGGAAGAACAAGTTAGNTACCAAGTTTCGTTAAGATATCTCAATTTTTACTCGAGTTATCGTGTGCACAGACGGACGGACGGACGGACGGACGGACGGACAGACAGTCACCGCTTAATCGATTTCTCTTTTCATTCTGATCATTTATGTATACATTTGTCTATATCTATCTCGATTCGTTTTGCCTGTTACAAACAACTGTTATGTGAACAAAGTTATAATACCCTTGTGCACAAGTGCGCTTAATAATAAANTACCGCTACATGGTAAGCCGGTGTGTATCAATTTTGAGTAAATTAGCGTCCAAAACTTTCGAAATATTGAAGTTTCAAGCATTTCTGAAATTTACCGTTATATGAAAAGCGGCCGTAATTTTAGTCCGATTTCAATAATTTTCAACGGTTTGCTTTTTTGTGGCAAGCACAATAATAACCATACTGAGTTTGGTACAAATTGGCAGAACGGTTACCGAGATACATATAAGGAATTATGGCAAACACCAATTTTGAATAAATTAGCTTTAATATTTACTGATTTATCGAAGATTTGGTATTTCTCTAAAGTAACGTTATATGGGATGTGGGCGTTGTTATTGTCTGACTTTAAAAATTTTCGGCCATTTCGTCTGTTANGGACAGACAGTCACCGCTTAATCGATTTCTCTTTTCATTCCGATCATTTATGTATACATTTGTCTATATCTATCTCGATTCGTTTTGCCTGTTACAAACAACTGTTATGTGAACAAAGTTATAATACCCTTGTGCACAAGTGCGCTCGGGTATAATAATCCTCCTATTGTGCAGAGATTTAAGGTTTATGAGCATGCGTCTAGCAGTGTAAGATGGAAAAGGGTCAACAAAATCTGGAGAGCGTAGAGCATAACGAATGAAAGATTTTTGGATTCGTTCAATCCTGTTAATATGACATTCATAATATGGTCGCCGCATGAAGACAGCGTTCTCGAGCTTAGAAAGAACAAGAGAAGTGTAGAGTAATTTTTTGGTATACGGATCAGTGAAATCAGATCTGAATCGTCAGATAAATGCGAGCATTGAATATGGCTTTGCGATGGTATAATTTCAGTGACTGTGAAAAAGAAATCTTGGATCAAAGATTACTCCTGAGTCAGAAACTTCACCAATCGTGACAAGCTGCGAGTCATCAATGAGATAGAAGTCGGAGTAATGGAACGAGATTTGGAAGAGGGGACATGATAACACATATTTGTATTTAATTTTAATCTATTTTTGGAGCACCAAGCAACAACGTTATTAAGATCAGCCTGTAGGTTGAAAGAGTCTGAGGCATTTGTTATTGTACAATAAAGAAGAAAGATATGATTTTACCCACGATAAAAAAGCTAAGCTAGCCAATTTTGAAATTAATGGTGATTTCATTTCTACAAAAAAATGTTACCTTTTGATTGCCCATTTCTCTTTAGGTGTTCGAGAAAGGCAAAGGGTGAGAAAATTGTGTGTTCCTTTCTTAAAATGTCACACAAAAAATGCACATTCTCTGCCCTGTGAAGCTTTGTCAGGGGAGATGGTTGCCCTGAAAATCTAATGGTTGTTTAAAACGACAATATTATGAAATGCATGAGCTAGACAAGGACAAGAAGGCAAAAATATACCTTTTTACGGGGTTGAGTGTAACATCAAACACAGAAGGGCAACATTTTTTGGAAGAAACGAAATCGCCATAAGATTGAGTGAACGCCTTTGTCAAACGCCTTAGAAAAGTCCGTATACATGGTATCGACTTGTAGACGGTTATTAAAGGCAGTTAAACAGAATTCGGAAAAAACCGCAAGGTTAGTAACAGTCGACCTTCCAGGCATACAATTATGCTGATTAATAGAAATTAAGGGACTAACTGCAAAAAATCTTTTTGTTTGACAATAAACTCGAATAATTTGGATATCGTTGATAATTTTGATATTGGCCGATGGTTGCTTATATCGTTTTTATTGCCACATTTGAATACGGGGTAATACGAGTGGTATTCCAAGCATCCATAAATTCACCCTGTTCAAGAGATTTATTGAAAATTAAAAAAATTGATAGGCAAAAACAGAAAAATTTTTCAACAGGAATGACGATATCCCATCAACATCGCGCACTGGGGCCAAGCGTGCTCAAAATTCAATTTAAAAAAAATGGGTTTATTGCCCATTAAATTCTACATTTGAGGGTAAGTTTTCACCTTTCTATCGTTTTTCGGCTGAAAGATATACGTGTTCAAACTTGAAAAATTTGAACAAAAAACTTTTTTTTTTTAAACTGATAAATTCAAATGTGCAATTCAAATTGTTACTATAAGAAACCGGTATTCTATTTCGTTATTTTGGTTTTTCCATTACTTAAAATGAAGCTTATTTATTCTTTTGGCGTATTTTGTTTGAAATTATGTGTTTCAAAAAATTATGATTAAAAAAAACTAAACTAACCTCTGTCTTTTGCTAGTGTAATTTTCAAAATCACTTTTTTTTTAAATACGCAAAGCGCTTTTAAATTTGACAGTACTGTAATAAAGTATGTTCCTTCCTTACTAAGAATCCGGGTTCAAAACGAAAAGCCCTTTGCGCATTTTTTAATAAATTGGTTTTAAAAATTTCACTTTGAACACAAAAACATATACTTCTGGTTAAGTTTGATTANTGTTCCTTCCTTACTAAGAATCCGGGTTCAAAACGAAAAGCCCTTTGCGCATTTTTAAATAAATTGGTTTTAAAAATTTCACTTTGAACACAAAAACATATACTTCTGGTTAAGTTTGATTATGTTTCAATTCGAACTTAAACTGTTTATTATTTTTCGGTTGCTCAATGAATAAAAAGCGGATTTAGTTCTAACAAGGGCTTTAATATCTTTAGTGAGAAGCGGATTTAGTTCAAACAAGGAATTTAAAAACTTTAGAGAGATATATAGTAGGAAAACGAGTCCCGCTGACAATTTAGGAGACGTTTTTAATAGATTGATAGTTTCATTAGATCCTCTGATTACTTGCTCGCACTTGTTGACAGTGGTCACCAACCGGAGATTTTTCTTTGCTGAATCAATGGAGTTAGTAGAACTTGAAGCGAATTATATTAGTTTAACGGGGCTTGGATGGGATTTAGATTCCGACTGTGAGGAATATGTGTCACAGTTTTCATTATTTAGTGCTTATCATAACTATAAGACACCCACATATTGACAAGTTTTGACTATGTCGAACATAATTCATATGGAAATACGTAAGTCCTAGCTATTTCAAATTTGCACTTTAATGTACTACGATTAAATGGGTTACAAAACTTCATACTCAAAATCCTTTTAATTATTTTATATAAAGTATTTTATATAAAGATTTTTGAATTGGTTAGTAAGATATACGTAATGAAGCAAAAAATTGATAACTGTAAATTTAAAATATCCCGAAAACCTATCAATAGAAAAAAAAATAACTCGATTTTCCGAATCACCGAGCAATTCTACATAGGAATCGGATAGTGGCATCCATAGAACATTTTTGCTGTAAACCAGTGTAATTGGATCATGAAGAAATTAACGATAATCTTAAATTTTTATATGAGAATTGATCGGTTTTGATTTTTGCTTAAAAATTACTTGTTTTTATTATATTTTAATTGTTTTTTTTTATAAAAATATAGCTGATTTTTTAATTAATTAATGTTTTTAATTTATACATTACTTGCTTTTCGATATTTTGTATGCTTAGTTTGTAAGTCTCTTTAAATTTAAAACATAATGAGTCATAGTCGAATCAAAGACGAAACTAAAAATAATTTCGAGTATTTTGACAAATTTTTCTAAAAGTGTTTTCAGAGAGCTGAAATTATTTTTACTTTCAAGATTGCTTTGACAATTCCTTTATCCCATTATGTTTTACATTGAAACGTAAATTTTTGTATC